GTAGAAGTTGTTCTAGTATAGTAGAGCTATTTATTGAGCTGACCAGCGCAGAAACAGTTTCTGATATACTAAATTTTATACAATTTATTTTATTATATATAGAATTTAGCCAGCTGGAGGATGCAGAAGTTGTTCTAGTATAGTAGAAAAATTGATATGCAAATTATGAGTGGACACAACACACAATGACATTGAGGGTTGTGGGTCTTCGTCTCCAAACCCCCACAATGCCATTGTGTCACTATATTAAGGATTTGCTATATCAAGGTTTGATTGTATACATTATCTCATTATATATACTAAAGATAATTTACATAATTGTTTTTAAATTAAATATGAGTTGTAATATAAATATAATAATTATAGTAATTGCAATATTATCTTTAGTATATATTGTATATATATTATATAAAAGATTATTATAAAGAGATTTTAAAATTAAGTAATTGAAACTAAAGTATAAATTTGAAATATTATCAACTGAGATAAAAATAATAAATAAATAATGTAATATTTCTGATTCATATAAATAAAGTATTCATGAAATTTGTTACTTAATATATTAAAGAAAGATATTATATTATGATTTTAACAAAATATTAAGTCAATGTTTTCAAAGTATTCTTATTTTTGAATCCAATTCCATGCTTTTTCTTAAATTTAACACTAAAGTATAACTTTATTATTTATACTTTTTATTTCAAAATGATTCTATTTTATAATTGATTAGTTAAATAATATGAAAATCAGGTTCTATGAATTTTTGAAATTATTAACATCATTTTATTGAAACTAGGTCGATAATAAATTTAACGATAAAAAAAATTCATAAATCTCAAATGTGTGATAATTTACACTGACTATGTGGTTTAAATATGTGGCGCAAAATCCCAATCCACCATTCTAAGTAAACTTGGAGCAAAAATACACCTACATATATAATTTTTAAGTCTAAATATAAGTTTATTAAAAAATTTCGTAAAAAGTTGGGGTGAGTGCTGGGAAAATGGACCAAATTGATTTTTTTTTTAAAAAAAAGTTTCTAAGTAAAATAGATGTAGATTTGGTCATCTGATTCCCTTTTCCCATCACTCACCACAGTTGTCTGTGCCGCATGTAACGATCATTTGTCGATCATTTCCAAAAATGTAATTTAAAGTATGGCGTAACTTGAAATATGCAATATTAACCAATCATGAGAACCAACTCTATATGGAAAAATATCTCGAGGTGTTACGATTTTTCATGAATAAAAAAAATAAAAAAAGAAATTTTTTTTCGTTTTTTTTAAATGGTTCCTTCTAAACAAGAAAAAGAAAAAACGCGTCGAAAGACGAGTTATATCTTTTGTTAGTCAACACACGTTCTATGTCCATACATAGAAACAGGTGCGCGTTTGAATTGTAATCGTCTTAACGTTCATATCGAGGCCATATGAAAGAAAACCACCTCAAGAAAAAGAAATAACTAACGAGTTGGGATGGTGAGTTGTTTCTTTTGTTAGTCAACACACGTTCTATGTCTATACATAGAAGCGGTGTGCTCTGATGGTAATAATTGTGTAGTTTGGATTACTGTAAACAACTGTAACTCAGTTGAGATGCGCATAGACTGATCAACACTCTGATACTTTATAATTGAATTGTAGCTTCCACAGAGACGATTAGCATTTTAACGTTCATATTGAGGTCATACGAAAGAAAATAACCTCAAGAAAAAAGAAATAACTAACGAGTCGAGATGGTGAGTTGTTTCTTTTGTTAGTCAACACACGTTCTATGTCAATACATAGAAGCGGTGTGCTCTGATGGTAATAACTGTGTAATTTGGTTAGGAACCTTATTTTTGGGGATGCTGAATTACTTAAACGACTTCAATTCAGTTCAGATGCGCATAGACTGAGCATTTTTATAATTGAATTTAGTTTCCACAGAGACGAACGTGATCAAAAGACGCCAGAAAAGCGAAAGAGAACTAGCGAGTTAAAATGGTGATTTGTTTCTTTTTTTTAGCCAACACACGTTCTATGCCTATTCATAGAAGCAGTGTGCTATGATGGTAATAATTTGGAATTTAATTAGAAGCCTTATTTTTGGGGGATGTTAAATTACTGTAAATAAATAACCGAAATGCGCATTGGTCGAGTAATACTTTATTTTAAAATTGACTGATAGCACGGACATGTTCAAAAGAAGCGACAAGTTGGAAGTCAAATATTTTATGAAGCGATATGGATATTTATGATGATAGAATCAGTGAATTAAGATATTATAAATAATAAAAAATTTTGTTATTCCGAAGATACTTTCGAAACGAAACGGTTGATAAGATTTCACTTGAAGTTTTAATGCCTCGTCGTTAATCTAAAAATATAAACATTTAATAAATATCCCGTTATTTTATTTTCAACGCAAAAAAATTTACATTAAAATAAAAAAATTTATTTATTTCAATCGGATTATTTGGTTCCGTGGAATTTCTAGTAATGTAGCACCGTTTGAATATATTCAAGAATACATTTCTGGAACTTGATGAAAGAATGAGAAAATATTCCATGAATTGACTATTTCTTTCTCATGGATAAAATTTCTAAAATCATTAATCCGATGGACACGTGCGTGAATTAAAGAAATTGAGTAATAAAGTTAATTTGAGCGTTAAAAACAAAAAGAGAGCTGAAAAAAGTTTGTTGGAGATACGGCTGTGGATGGTGATTTTGAATTGCTCTTGAAAAGCTTGCTGACCTCCTAATAAAAAAATAAAAAGCAAAAAACTAGCAAAATTTTAAACGGTAATTTTTAAATTTATTTCAAAATTAACTGTTCTTTAAATCTTTGGTTATCGTTACATATAATAATTTTTTTATTGATAAAGCAGGTCTCATTGTATACGTTATAACAATTGTTCTTTCTATTAAGGATGTGGCGCAGCTTGTGCGAAATTAATTGTAGCTTTGTCGACAATTTTTTTTTTCCAAATACTAAAGGTGAATGATTGTAACATATAGAAAGAAATTGTATATAGCTCCAATGATCTGTTTTTTTTTTATGTGCCTCGAAGACTTCATGTTTCAATTTGTGAAACGCTTCTACATTTATGGAACTATTTAAAAAAATAATTTAAATGTGGACGTCTTTTTTATTATTAAATGTATTAAAAATGTAATCAAATACATAATGAATTAATTATAAAAATGTCATTTTAATCGAATAAATAAATAACGACTAACAAAACGGTAATAAAAGTGAATTTATTACTAAATAGTTCTAATTTCATCAATGAATTGGAACTGTATTGATTATATTTGGCTTCAAGATTTTGAGGTAACTGTCCATTATTATTATTTTGAAATTGGTCATTATTTTCATTTAATACTTGATCATTAGTAACAGGAGTAGCTGGATAAACCCCACTATTATCATCTTCGTAATCATTATTAGTTGGATTCACATCATTAGTAACTGGAGATTCTCTATGGTTTGATGTTTTATTATTTGCTACAAAAACATTGGGATCACCGGCACCAAAATTAGTAGAAACGTCCTTTTCTTTGCTTTCTTTTTCTTTACCAAATTCTAATTTTTCAGTTTCATCTATTACGTGTGCGCTTTTACCACCTGACCCTAAACCTTTCGATACCTTTGGATTATTTTCTACTTGAATCGGGATAACTTCTATCTTTTCTTGTGCTACTTTAATTCCTTTTGATTTGGGTATAACTTTAGGATTTTGTATAGCTATTTCCTTGGGTGCTTTTATTGGCGCTTCTTTTGGTGCTTCCTTGGGTGTTGCTTTTTCTTCCGTTTCTTTTGGTGTTTTTGGGAGTGCTTCTTTTTCTTTAGGTGCATTCTTTGGAACTTCCGGTTCTTTAGGTTCATCCTTTGGAGCTTCTTTTTCTTCCTTTTCTTTAGGTGCATCCTTTGGAGCTTCTTTTTCTTCCGTTTCTTTAGGTGCATCCTTTGGAGCTTCTTTTTCTTCC